TGATTCTTCTTGCCATTCTGTAACTGGGCAGACAGCTTTCAGAGTGCCTGCAGGATCCAGGCATTACACCTATGATCTACTGATTGCAGGTGCATAGCTTACAAACTGTAGTGAAAAAAAGAAGCATTAAATTAACTTTTTTTAGATGCAAAAAAGTGCATTTAGAATTATTTTGTAAAAGGTGAACTTATGCTTTAAAACAAGGGTGTCCAGCCTGTGGCCCAAGACAGCTATGACTGCAGCCCAACACAAAATCTTAGGGGATGTGGCTTAGTGCTCAGAGTTGATAGTGGCACACTAACTGAGCTTCGGGATCTTCACAGCTCTAAGACCGGTCACCAGAAGCTAGATGATGGACAAACTCTCTAAGCCCATGCACCACAGCTTATCTGCCTCCTCCCCAGCTTGTCACATACCGGCAATCTTCAGATCACAGTCGGCCTCCAGCTGCGGCGAACGATGGCGACGGTCTAGCACGAGGAAGACAGTAATGAGGAATCATTGCTACTATCTGAGACCTCAGATACACTGATTACCCCTTCACCTTCTCAGATATGACATCCATAGCCGCAGATATCAAAAGCTCTCTCACAGCAGCTATTACAGATCTAAAGGCTGACCTCCTTGTAATGTCTGATCAACTGACTGCAGCAGGACAAGGGAAGCAGACAGTCATTGCTAGATTGGAGGACTTAACTGTGTCTTATTCCAGCCATCTTATTGCTATGAACAGACACCTCGAAGATCTAGAGGAAGGAGGAATAATATTAGAGTGAGAGGGGTCCCTGAATCTGTGAACCCTGAGCAGAATAAACCTGCCCTACAAAATATCTTTATTGGTGTCCTGGAAAGAGATCCTGAAATTGTCACTGATTTTGACCATGCACATAGACCACCAAGGCCTAGAAGTGTAGACAATGCACCACCTAGAGATATAATTTGCTGTCTCTCCAATTTCTTTTTAAAGGTGGACATTCTCTCTAAAGCCAGACAAAGTGACATTATTATGTTCAATGAGCACACCATTAAGCTATTTCAAGACCTGTCGCCTATCACTTTAAATAATAGAAGGGCTCTGTGACCCCTGCTGGAGGTTTTGAGAGAAAAAGGTATAGTGTATGGTGGAGATTCCCCTGTCCTTTGCAAGCTACACTAAATGGCAAACCATATCTGCTAAAAACACCTGAGAAGCTAAGAGACTTTTGTACCACTCTACAAATACCATATACTGACCTACCAGAATGATACCAGGAATTTAAACTCCATGCAATGGTCTCTAATACTTCAGAATCTCCTCGCAACTCACCTAACAAAACACCTCATAAGAAAAGGAAGAAATGACAAATAATCCACATCTGGATCTACTTTATCCTCGCCGAGGTCAAAAATACCTAAAGCTAGAAAGGACACCTGACTTTAAAACTTGAGGTGATGATCTGTCAACTTTTTTCTTTCTTGATCTTATGAACCTGAGTTCACTTGGATGTCCACATATACAAGACATTTTGAATCTCTACTTAGACCTATGAAGTATGTCTGTCTAATGGGCAGGCATTGACTATGATTATTACACATATCTACCATGCCTATCATGATTATACTGCTACACTAGACCTGTCACACAACTCTCACTTTCATGTCAATCATCTGAGTTTTATTCTTGCTACTTCAGAGGAGAAACATGTCTACTCAGATACATTGCTTCTATTTTTGTAGGCAGGCCTCAAACCCACTGAACATATCCGCACATACGTATATAGACATGTCCAAATCTGAGGTGTTGCTGTATATATCACTCATGGTATTTGAACTGTATAGGTGAAACCCAAATCTTTTTGCAGATGAACAACTTACAATAGGTTCTAGTAGTTCATTAATGGAAAGAGGGCATTAACTTACATTGATATTCTTTCTATCAAGACTATTTACATTATATGTTTGCCTGAACTATTACTATCAATTTTATCATTTCAATTGACTGACCACTTAACTTTAGTCTTTCATGTTTTCTTTTTTTTACAGCTGTGAAGCTGTTAATATCCAATTTTCTATGATAGGTTATTTCATATTTCAAATATCCGCTACAGATATTTTGTGTGCAGCCCATTCATATAGGTTTTGGGCACTCCCCACTCTTCCACATAAATTATAGATCTTGTTTAGCTATTATACCGAATACCCACATATGTTTGCTATTTGTCTACAGTCTAACTACCCTAGGATACTCTAAGTTTGGTAGTATCGAAGGTATTGTTACACATCTCTACTTCATTTTCCCTTTTAAGGGATAAACATTCTCATCCTCCCCCTCCTTCTTATCCTTTCCCACCCCACAATTTTTTTTTGTTTTTTTTTAAACACCAAGCTAAAAGATTTGTGGACTATAGCAGGTATATTCCATCCTTGATTTAGTAACTGTGAAAGTTTCTGTTTTGAAGCACTTCTTGATCATAAGTTGTCATGGCTTAATCGGTGTTGGGGGGAAAAAAAGCCTCTTCTGATTTCCCATAATGTTAAGGGAGTAAATATCCCTGAGAAGAGATCTATGCTTTTGAGAGAACCTACAAAAGTGAAACCCAAGGTAGTTTTTCTACAAGAAACCCATTTTAAAACACATACTATCCTAAAACGTGGTGTTAACTACTTTACTAAAACTTTCCATTCAACAAATTCCCAAGCCAAAATGAAAGGAGTCTCCATATTATTAAGAAAATATGCTGCTTTTGCCATAACAGATCAACTAATAGACCCAGAGGGAAGGTATCCCCTAGAAGTGTTATAAATCCCCCCCCCCTTAACAGACAACTATAAGCAGGGAAAGACCGTGCCTGACTGTGGCCTTCTCAGGACGCATCGAGACTCTGGGGATGGATTAGCCACTCGGGGGCTCTATATGCGTCTTAAAAGAGTTCCAAGGGGGGGGGGGGCCACCAGGCAGTTAGGACATCAGAAAGACATAGGGACAGTCAGGAATAAAATAGCCATTTTAAGGGGGGATTTTAGTGGATTGTGATAGACAGTCCACGTTCTATTAGATGATCACTAAAATGACAATTTTATAGTCTTGCTACTCTCTGCTTCTTGCTCTCTAAATTCCTTACTCTCTTAAGAAAACAATCAGATATAGGGCAACGGAACAATGATAATGAAGATGGCGCCTTCATCCGGAGTCTCACCCATTCAACAAATTCCCAAGCCAAAATGAAAGGAGTCTTCATATTATTAAGAAAATATGCTGCTTTTGCCATAACAGATCAACTAATAGACCCAGAGGGAAGGTATCCCCTAGAAGGTAGACCTACCACTCTGACCAATGTGTACTCTCCTAACTCGGCCCATATATCCTTTTGGCAAAAAATTGTGGATTAATTAAAATGGTTTGCCACAGGTTGTGTAATTTTGGGAGGGGACCTTAATATACCCCTAAACCTGATTCAATATACCTCCTCCTGGCAAAGCTTTGTATATCCTATCGAGTTCTCAAGAGGATCAAATGTTTGGTGAGATCTTTGACATTAGTTGACTCTTGGCGGTCCAAAAATCCTACAGATAAAGATTTCACCTTCTGTTCACCCCCACATGAACGTGTAGTGGATTGTCATAGACAGTCCACGTTCTATTAGATGATCAGTAAAATGACAATTTTATAGTCTTGCTACTCTCTGCTTCTTGCTCTAATTCGTGGACAATATTCGATTCGAGTCGAATAAATTCGCTGTGAATTTAACTTAAAAAAAGGGTGTTTCTAGGCTTCAGAGAGACTTAATATTAGTGCAGAACACTGTACCTTTAATTTAAATGCCCTTGGAGTCTGCTGGGGAAGAGAAATAATACTGTCAGTCAGTATGACATGCAGATGAGTGCCGTCGATCTTAGAATCACTGCACACTTCACTCCTTTGGCCAGTCACGGGGGCCAAAACCAGAGTTTGGAGCCACAGTGTGGCGGTGGAGCCAGCAGCAATGGGAGGCCATACAGCAACCTATGACAAAATGGAAACCAGCAGGAGCGTGAGGAGACCTGAAAGTGGCACATGGCAGAGTGGGAGCAATGGGGAGGCGGTACAGGGACCCAGGTCACACTGTGGGACCAGCAGCAGCGTGACCAGGCGGTACGGGGGCCCATGGCCGATTTGGGGCTTGGTGGCACCTATGGAAGGCCTGTAATCTGCCAGCAACCTATGACAAAATGGACACACCGCAGGAGTGTGAGGAGATTTCAAAGTGGCACATGGCAGAGTGGAAGCAATGGGAAGATGGCCGTACAGGGACCCAGGTCACACTGTGGGCTCAGCAGCAGCTCGGTGACCAGGAGGTACGGGGGCCCATGGCCGATATGGGGCCTGGCGGCACCTATGGGAGGCCGCTAATCTGCCAGCAACCTATGACAAAATGGAAAACCGCAGGAGTGTGAGGAGTTTTCAAAGTGGCACATGGCAGAGTGGAAGCAATGGGAGGCCGTACAAGAGACCCAGGTCACACTGTGGGACCAGCAGCAGCGTGACCAGGAGGTACGGGGGCCCATGGCCCGATATGGGGCCTGGCGGCATCAATAGAAGGCCTGTAATCTGCCAGCAACCTATGACAAAATTAACAACCGCAGGATGTAATGGTGAGGAGATTTCAAAGTGGCACATGGCAGAGTGGAAGCAATGGGGAGGCCGTACAGGGGACCCAGGTCACACTGTGGGCTCAGCAGCAGCGTGACCAGAGCGTACGGGGGCCCATGGCCGATATGGGGCTGGCGGCACCTATGGGAGGCCGCTAATCTGCCAGCAACCTATTGACCTATGAGACAAAATGGACAACCGCAGGAGTGTGAAGAGATTTCAAAAGTGGCACATGGCAGAGTGGAAGCAATGGGAGGCCGTACAGGGGACCCAGGTCACACTGTGGGCTCAGCAGCAGCGTGACCAGGAGGTACGGGGGCCCATGGCCGATATGGGGCCTGGCGGCACCTATGGGAGGCCTGGTAATCTGCCAGCAACCTATGACAAAATGGACAACCGCAGGAGTGTGAGGAGATTTCAAAGTGGCACATGGCAGAGTGGAAGCAATGGGAGGCCGTACAGGGACCCAGGTCACACTGTGGGCCCAGCAGCAGCGTGACCAGGCGGTACGGGGGCCCATGGCCGATATGGGGCCTGGCGGCACCTATGGGAGGCCGCTAATCTGCCAGCAACCTATGACAAAATGGAAAACCGCAGGAGTGTAAGGAGACCTCAAAGTGGCACATGGCAGAGTGGAAGCAATGGGAGGCCGTACAGGGACCCAGGTCACACTGTGGGCTCAGCAGCAGCGTGACCAGGAGGTACGGGGGCCCATGGCCGATATGGGGAACTGGCGGCACCTATGGAAGGCCGCTAATCTGCCAGCACCCTATGACAAAATGGAACCCTGGGCTGGGGCAGGCAGAACCGCCGTATCTTTATCACGTTTTTCACAGGCCACCGAATGGCGACGCTGCATATGCTGACGCAACGCTGTAGTCCCAACATGGGCCCCCTGGCCACGCTTGACTTTCTGGCCACATAGTCGACATTAGGCTACGTTTTACTTCCTCGGGCGGCTTGACGAAAACTTGCCACACCGCCGAGTAGGAAACTTTGCACCGCTACTCCTCACTGGCTGACTGCTACTTCCTCCGTGCACACCGGCACCACTACTGGCTGTGGTGGTAGGCTGCAGTGGAGCTGCTGCTCTACTCCGTGGGCCGTTTGCCTCCACTGACAAAGCTGCGACCCTGCTGCCTCCTGGAGCAGCAGCAATGCAATGGGAGGCCGTACAGGGACCCAGGTCACACTGTGGGCTTCAGCAGCAGCGTGACCAAGAGGTACGGGGGGCCCATGGCCGATATGGGGCCTGGCGGCATCAATAGAAGGCCTGTAATCTGCCAGCAAACCTATGACAAAATGGACAACCGCAGGAGTGTGAGGAGATTTCAAAGTGGCACAATGGCAGAGTGGAAGCAATGGGAGGCCGTACAGGGACCCAGGTCACACTGTGGGCTCAGCAGCAGCGTGACCAGGAGGTACGGGGGCCCATGGCCGATATGGGGCCTGGCGGCATCAATAGAAGTCCTGTAATCTGCCAGCAACCTATGACAAAACTGGACAACAGCAGGAGTGTGAGGAGATTTCAAAGTGGCACATGGCAGAGTGGAAGCAATGGGAGGCCGTACAGGGACCCAGGTCACACTGTGGGCTCAGCAGCAGCGTGACCAGGAGGTACGGGGGCCCATGGCCGATATGGGGGCCTGGCGGCACCTATGGGAGGCCTGTAATCTGCCAGCAAACCTATGACAAAATGGACAACCGCAGGAGTGTGAGGAGATTTCAAAGTGGCACATGGCAGAGTGGAAGCAATGGGAGGCCGTACAGGGACCCAGGTCACACTGTGGGCTCAGGAACAGCGTGACCAGGAGGTACGGGGGCCCATGGCCGATATGGGGCCTGGCGGCACCTATGGGAGGCCTGTAATCTGCCAGCAACCTATGACAAAATGGACAACCGCAGGAGTGTGAGGAGATTTCAAAGTGGCACATGGCAGAGTGGAAGCAATGGGAGGCCGTACAGGGACCCAGGTCACACTGTGGGCTCAGCAGCAGCGTGACCAGGCGGTACGGGGGCCCATGGCCGATTTGACCTCATTCATCCCATAGTCCTGCCGACTCACGAATAGCGTGGCCTCCTCAAAGGGCCTGAGCAAGTGCAGGTGTCACGCATGAGATGACAATGGCTGACATCTAAGTTACACAGGGAGTACCTTTTATCCGCTTTTAACATCAGAAATCTGTGATGGCCTTTAGCTGTTCGTAAAGGCGGTCTAACATATGTAGGGTTGAATTACACCTTGTTGCAAACGTCACAGCATGAGGAGTCGGTACGGGGGCCCATGGCAGATTACGTGCCTGGCAGCAGCAATGGGAGGCCTGTAATCTGCCAGCACCCTATGTCAAAAAATTCAACACACCAGTAGTGTGAGGAGACCTGAAAGTGAGGCACATGGCAGAGCAGAGTGGCGATGGAGACAGCAGCAATGGGAGGCCGTACAGGGACCCATGAGAGACTCTGGACCTAGCAGCAGCATGAGGAGGCGGTATATAGGGGCCCATGGCAGATAAGGGGCCTGGCAGCAGCTATAGGAGGCCCGTTTATCTTGCAGCACCCTATGTCAAAAAAATTCAACACAACAGCAGTGTGAGGAGACCTGAAAGTGGCACATGGCAGAGTGTGGCGATGGAGACAGCAGCAATGGGGGAGGCCGTACAGGGACCCATGAGAGACTCTGGACCTAGCAGCAGCATGAGGAGGCGGTATATAGGGGGCCCATCGGCAGATAAGAGGCCTGGCAGCAGCTATAGGAGGCCCGTTATCTTGCAGCACCCTATGTCAAAAAATTCACACACCAGCAGTGTGAGGAGACCTGAAAGTGGCACATGGCAGAGTGTGGCGATGGAGACAGCAGCAATGGGAGGCCGTACAGGGACCCATGAGAGACTCTGGACCTAGCAGCAGCATGAGGAGGCGGTATATAGGGGCCCATGGCAGATAAGGGGCCTGGCAGCAGCTATAGGCGGCCCGTTATCTTGCAGCACCCTATGTCAAAAAAATTCAACACAACAGCAGTGTGAGGCGACCTGAAAGTGGCACATGCAGGGGCATGATTCATGGCGGATTTAGTCAGTTGTGTCAGGAACTGGTGGTTTGAAATCCCAGACTAATCCACGCCTGATTCATTTTCACAAACGTGAGTCTCTCCACACTTTGGGTGGGACAGTCGTGTCCTCCGCAGAGTTACAATACCTCCTGCCGCACTAAACACGCGCTCAGATGCCACGCTACTGGCCGGGCATGACAGCCTTTCAAGGGCAAATTCAGCTAGTTGGGGCCAAAGGTCAAGTTTCGTTGCCCAGTAGTCAAGGGGATTGTCTACCTCGGTTGGCAGGGTGCTGTCCAAGTAGGCCCAAGCCTGTTGTTTGAGCTCCTGCTCTAGGTCCACCTGATGCTGCTGCTGCTGCTGGGGGGCTGCGGCTGGTTAGTAGTTTCCTCACTGCGCTGGTGAAGAAAGCTACTCATCATCGACTGCAGACTGAGGCAGCCGCTGCTGGTGGAGCTGCCACTGCTCCTACCACCCCACCCCTCCCCTGCTGCCATGCCAGCGGAACGCGAGCGCACAGGGCCCACAGTGTCTGAGGATGGACGTTGGCGCACAAAGGCAGAGACCAACTGACTACATAGGTGTGTTTTTTATAGTACGTAATTTTGGCCTCCCTCCTCAGCAGGTGTGAAAAAGGGCACCATTTTGGACCGGTAGCGAGGGTCCAACAAGGTGGACAGCCAAAAGTCATCCCTCTGTCTGATGGTTATTATTCGGCTGTCGCTTACGCAAGAAACCGAGCATGCTATGGGCCATTTGTGCAAGGAAATGCGAGGGACTGTTCCCTGCCTCCATCTCCACAGCATAACTGCCACGGTGCGTCTGGGTCCTCTGTCTCCTCCTCCTCCTCCTCTCCCAGATGCTCCTGCTCCTCCACTCCTGTTCCGCTGAGTGGAAAAACCACCCATTTCACTCAATAATTCCTGAGCACAAATGTCCTCCTCTACCTCCTCCTCTTCTTTTCCTGTCCCTGCTCCCACAGGGGTCATGTGGCGTTGAGATCTGTGCGCCACGTCTACCGCACCCTGACCAGCCATTGTTAACAGCATTTGTTCCAGGACGTGCAACAGAGGAATGACGTCGTTCATACCCATAGTCCTGCCGACTCACGAATAGCGTGCCCCTCTCAAAGGGCCTGAGCAAGCGGCAGGTGTCACGCATGAGCTGCCAATGGCTGACATCTAAGTTACACAGGGGAGTACCTTTATCCGCTTGTAACATCAGGAAATCGGTGATGGCCTTTCGCTGCTCGTAAAGGCGGTCTAAACATGTGTAGGGTTGAATTCACACCTTGTTGCAAAACGTCGCAGATCAGGCGATGCTGTGAATTACGTTCTGCCGCTGCAGCTCAATGAGGGTGTTCTTTGCGGTGTAGGAATGGCTGAAATGCATGCACAGTTTACGTGACATTTTAAGGATGTCTTGCAGTGGGATGGTGGATTTTAGGAACCGCTTGACAACCAGATTGAACACGTGAGCCATGCATGGCGCATGGCCACAAACCTTCCTTGACGCAGAGCAGACACACCATGTTCTTTCCGTTGTCGGTCAACATGGTTCCGATTTTCAGTTTGCGCGGAGACACGCCATCTGTCGATTTCTCTGTTCATTTACACTCAGAAGTTCCTCCCCTGTGTGGAACTACGTTCGCCAAGGCATACCAGGTGCAGCACAGCGTGACAACGTTGCGCCTGCACATGTGATTATGCCGGGTCGGGTAATGGGACTTGGCACGGGGGTGGCGGTGGCTGAGGACACGGCGGAAAAAGATCAGGGTCTGGTAGAGGCGGACATGTTTTGCTGGACCAAGGACGTGCAAACGTGGAGGCAAAAGCATGGTGACCTGTCAAACTTGCTGGTGCGGCTGTGCCGGCACCACGTTCACCCAGTGGGCCGTAAATGACATGTACTGTCCCTGACCGTAGTTACAGCTCCACACGTCGGCGCTGCCGTGCACTTTGGTAGAGACCGACATGCTCAAAGACTGGCCCACCATCTCTTCTACATGTGAATGCAGGGCTGGCACTGCCTTTTGGGCAAAGAAATGACGGCTTGGCACTCTCCACCCGCGAGCGCGGCTCAAGCCATCATTTCTCGGAAAGGTGCTGAGTCTTCCACCAGTTGGGAAAGGGAGGGACTGCAGCACCAGCCAAACTTGGACAGGAGGACGTTCAGCTTTTGCACCGTCGGGTTCGGGTGCGTGCTCGCAAACTGTTGTCTCTTGGATACGGATTCCAAGAAAGACTGTTGACGGAATCCGAGAAGAGGAGTAGCAGGAGAAAGGAGCATCTGAATCGAGCAGAAGATGCCAACGAGCGACAACTCCCCTCAGCAGAGGTGTTGGGGAGCCTTGACTGGCTGATAGAGGGTGATTGACGACGTCGGGTGACGGAGCAAGTAACGGGAGCGGGTGTGATGGAGCCGGGGGCTGGGGCAGGCAGAACCGCCGTATCTTTATCACGGTTTTCCCAGGCCACCGATATGGTGACGCTGCATTATGCTGACGCAACGCTGTAGTCCCAACATGGGGCCCCCTGGCCACGCTTGCATTTTCTGGCCACATAGTCGACATACGCTACGTACTTCCTCTTCCTCGGGCGGCTTGACGAAAAAATTGCCACACCACCGAGTAGGAAACTTTGCCCCCGCTACTCCTCACTGGCTGACTGCTACTCCTCCGTGCGCACCGGCACCACTACTGGCCGTGGTGTGGTAGGCTGCAGTGGAGCTCGGGTGCTCTACTTCCGTGGACGTTTGGCTCCACTGACACTGATGCGACCCTGCTGCCTCCTGGGCAACCCACCGACTGTTTCGCTCGCTGCCAAGCTGGCACCCTCTTCTCCTGATGATGCGGAAGAAATTGCCTGATGACGACGAGGCAAGCCTAGTGCGATCAACACCTCCTCATCATCAAGTACGGTCTCCGCCTCACTACTAGCCCCTCGGCTGCGTCTGGGGGTCCCCCCCCCCCCCCCCGGAGACAACAGCTGTCTCTAGACGGCTACAGTGCCACTCTCCTCGCCAGTACTTCTTCGCCTGGCTGCTGAAAAGCCGATGGTCTCCCCCCGTTCCTGGACCGCCCTCTGTAGCTCTTCCTCACTGTACAGTGGGGCTGAGCCCACAGGCATGCGATACTTCGCTTGTGATGGAAGGGAAACAGCAAGGACAGGGGCAGGTAGAGGACACGGTGATTTCAGTGGGCTTGCTCCCGGGCCATGCCAACTAACGGTTGTGTCTGACGTACCCACCGACCGTTGGGCTGTAGGTGTCAGAGGTGACCTGGGGAAGAGGAAGACGACCGAGCCAACCAATCAATGACGGCAGGGTTGTTGGTGGAGACACGACCGCTGGATGGACACCGGGGCGAGCACTGGCCTCTGGCTGCGAATACTGCTTGCCTCGACCCCTTCCTCTGCTGCCAACACGTCTGCTTGCTCCTAAAACATTGCCTCCTCTGCCACTCCTCTGCATGTTGTCTGACATACTCTTTAATTCAACGATTATGTGTCCCCGGAGTAACAATTCTGTGTCACCTGAGTAAAACAATTTTCTGTGTCTGTGCGAGTAAACAAATTCTGTGGCCCTAAGTAACAGTTCTGTGGCCCTCAGTAACAGTTCTGTGTCTGTGCGAGTAACAATTCTGTGTCTGTGCGGAGTAAAATAACAATTCTGTGGCCCTAAGTAACAGTTCTTTGGCCCTTCAGTAAAACAATTTCTGTGTCTGTGCGAGTAACAATTCTGTGTCTTTGCGAGTAACAAGTCTGTGTCTGTGCGAGAGAGTAACCAATTCTTGTCTGTGCGAGTAACAATTCTCTGGCACTCAGTAACTATTCTGTCTGTCTCTGAGTAACAATTCTCTGGCACTCAGTAACAATTCTGTCTGGTCCCTGAGTTAACAATTCTCTGGCACTCAGTAACTGTCTGTCCCTGAATTCTGGCACTGTCCCTGAGTAAAAATTCTGTGGCCCTAATAACGTTTCTGTGGCCCTAAGTAACAATTCTCTGGCACTGAGTAACAATTCTGTCTGTCCCTGAGTATGAATTCTGTGGCTAACTAGCGTTTCTTTGTCCCTAAATAAACGATTCTGTGGCCCTCATTAACAAGTCTGTGTCCCTGGTAATGGTTTCTCTGTCCCTAAGTAACCTTTTCTCTGTCCCCAATTCTCGTTTCTGTGGCCCTAACTCTGTCCCTGTCCCTAGTACAGAGCGGTCTGCCTCTGATTCAATGACTGCAGGCAAATGAAGAATTCCAAAATGGCCGCTATTTATAGCTCGACATTACACAGTGCTGCTGGCTGGCTGATGATTGGCTTGATGCGATCACATGTCGTTGAGGAATGCATTATG